GTCCTTTGTGTTTTCAAATTGGCAGAAGAACTCACTCAGGTCGTTGGTGAGCTGATGGTTGTTCAGAAGAAGGAGAGTCTTTCTCACCTTGTAGTTGGAGATCTCTTGGAGGCCCCTCCAGACTGAAGTTGGTTAGTTAGCGGCAGGTTTGGGATAGCTACTCAAAAATTAGTAGTTAGTTACTTTGTAGCTACCTCCCAAAATTTGTAGCTAGCTACAATTTAGCTACTTTTCCAGAAAAAGCAGTGGCTACTTTTTAGCTACTTTTTGAAAAGTAACACACTACTTTTTAGCTACTTTCAAAGCGAGATTGTCAGAATGTTTGTGAATCTCCACCTGACACACCAAACAAGCCCAGCTGAACGTGTGAACAAGACACTGCATTTAGTCATGTGCCAGAAAGAAACATATAATTGAAAAGCTGCAAATTCACAAAAAGATCACCAAAAAGTAAGTTTAAGTGTAACCGACAATCAAACTTACACAACCAAAGGCGTGATTTCCAACAAAAATTTAGACTAAAGGCAAAGTCAGTCATTTCAGGTTTTTCCTAATAAAAATCAACAAAAATAACCAAATATAAACCAAACAACTTTGTGCAAAGCATTGTCAACTGTTGAAATAAAACTACTCCAATTTAAACATTTCAGCAAGATGTACAGACATGACATTCAGAGTCCTTTGTTAAAACTTCAGTAGCACTTTAGCCTCAAAATTCTCATCAGTGACCCTGGCTCTGTTTGGTGTGAGAATCAGGCCTGCGCAGCTGAATAATCTCTCCACTGCTGCAGAGCTGTTGTGACTCCACAGCAGAACTAGATTTTTAGGTAAAATAACATAATCCTCCTTTGCTGTAAAATCGTTATAACACAGTTTTCACAATAAATGATACAATCTGTAAACAAAACAATCAGTAAACAATCTCTTATTATTCTCTGACCAAAGAAACACATCTTTGCTGGTTCTGCTTGATTATAGGGTGTAATTTGATACGATAGACCACTCTATCCTACTAGACAGGCTAGAAAACCTTGTAGGAGTAACAGGAATAGCTCTTTCCTGGTTCAGATCTAACCTGACTGATCGCTGTCAGTTTGTGAATGTAAATGGCGAATTATCTTCTTACAAAAGTAATGTATGATGTCCCACAAGGCTCCATTTTAGGACCTTCTTATTTACATTATACATGCTACCAATGGGTACCGTGATCAGTAAACATGGTATAAATTTCCACTGCTACGCTGATGTATATATCATGCAAACCAGATGATAAATTGCAACTTAATAAGATTGAGGACAGTGTAAAAGATGTAGGAGATTGGATGTCAAGTAATGTCCTCCTACTCAACTTGAACAAAACAGAGATTCCCCTTTTTGGTCCAAAAACTGCTAGGAACACACACATATCTTCTAAGCCGCTTATCTTTCTGGGCCGCGGGGGGAGCTGGAGCCTATCCCAGCAGTCATTGGGTGAAGGGCAGGATACACCCTGGACAGGTCACCAGTCCATCCCAGGGCAGACAGACAGACATATACAGTCACACCCACACTCACACCTAGGGGCAATTTAGCATGTCCAGTTGGCCTGACTGCATGTCTTTGGACAGTGGGAGGAAACCCATGCAGACACGGGGAGACATGCAAACTCCACACAGAAAGGACCCTGGTCGCCCAGCCAGGGAGTCGAACCCACACCCTTCTTGCTGTGAGGTGACAGCGCCACCCGCTTGTTGTTATAATCGATCCTGATCTGTTCTTCGACACACAAATAAACAATATTACTAGAATAGCTTATGTCACACCTTCTGCCACCAGTTCCCCTCTTTGCCAGCAGAGGTCTCACTCTCCTGCACACTGAGCCTGTAGCACATCCTGTGTTTCATTAAATGCCATTTTGTAGGATATTTAAGGGGCATTGAGACTATGTTCTGTGTGAAGTCTTGTTTTGGTATAACCTACAATTCTAAACCTTGTGTTTCCTGTCTGACTTCTCTGGTTATGACCGCTTGTCTTCGTGTTTCATTTGTGAGTACTGGATCCTGGTTTTGGATTCTTTGCCTGCTATTCTGTGATGTCTTGATGGTTTTGACTCCTCCGTTATAGTTGATACCCCATCTGGTTGTCTAATAAACCTGCCCCTGATTCGTGCTGATCCTGCGTGGTCTAATACTGTTGCTTCGTTGCCTTGATCAGGTTCCCCTGCTCGAGCGCCTTCTGGACCAGTTTGACTACCATAGAGCTTCCTGCTGTCCAATGCTGTGCCTCACCTGCATGCCACTGATCCTCCTGATGATACTGCTGCTGCACAGACTCAAACTATTTAAACATAAACATTGCTTCACCTGCCTCACAGTATTCTGAGCTTTTCTCATTTTCATACTAACGGATCATCATTGTAGGCTTCCAGCAGTAGTCACCAGTGGTGGACAGTAACGAAGTAAATGTAAGTAAGTAGTTTTTTTGTGTATCTGTACTTTACTGAAGTATTTCCATTTTGGCCGACTTTTTACTTTCACTCCACAACATTTCAAAGTCAAATATCTTACTTTTTACTCCACTACATGTGCCGTTCCTTTTGGCTTATGTGTGTATAAAAACGTAACATGTTAAAATGAAGGAAGCGTGAAGGAAGCGTGAGGCAAGCACACCAATCAGGGTACAGTGCGCACTTTGTTTTGATCTGTTGGACATACCTACCCAGTGCAGGCATACGGTTCAACATCAGTGCAGCAGCGTAAAATTGTGGGAGTGCCTATGCCAACATAAATGATGGAACTAACCTAACTTTGTGTAAATAGACCACAATATAGAAATATGTACACATATGCAGTTGTGACTGACATGTGTCTTTTTTCTGAATTTATACAAACACTTTCATTTTATTATAAATTCGTTTTTGCTAGTTTATGTTTATGAACAGAGACCTACACGTGCAATATAACTCATTGTGAACCTGTGTTTAAAGAAAGTTGGTTTTTTTTTTTAAACTTGTAACAAAGTTGCAAATAAATCTTAAACTGAAACTTTGCTTATTTGGAGAAAGTTATTTCATAGCCACTTCGTTCTACCTAATGGAAATTGTTTGCCTTCAGTGTTTTGTGCTTATAATAATTTTAATAGACGTAAGAGACAGACTCATGAATGACATTCTATTAAAAAGATTGGTTTACCAAGAGTGACACTAGAGTATTTTCACCTAAAAAAAACAAGAGTCTTGTTACAAAAATGGTAATAGGACATTAGAGCCATAATTAATCTTGTAGTACTTTTACTTTCGATACTTAAGTACATTTGAAGGCAAATACTTTTGTACTTTTACTCAAGTGGAGGTCTAGAGGGAGGACTCCTACTTTTACTGGAGTAATATTTTACCGTGGGTATCTCCACTTTAATTCAAGTACATGATTTGTGTACTTTGTCCGCCACTGGTAGTCACTGATGTTTAGATGTTTTTTCAACTGTGATTCTTTTCTAAGAGTAGTCACTGGTTTTCACTGGTAACAGTGACAGACTTTTTATTTATTTATTTATTTTATTTATTGACGTATTTCTCAATGATCCTCTGTTAGACTTCTAACAGACATGATGCTCTACCAGCTTCCAAAAATGAAAAGAAATTGTGACAGTATGTCGCCCAATTTTTCACAAAGAAAAGTGTCTGTAGTCTGTGAGTGTCCTTCTCAAAGAACATGATACAAGCCTCACAGAGACACAAAGCCAAAGAGCCGTTATTTCTAGGTGTAAGAAAGATATTCTAAATATTCTATATTAAAAAGATTTAAATTTGATTACTGGAGATCATTAATATCCCTTCAGTGGTGATGTTGTACCTGTACTTAAAATGTCAGATGTCACATGATCATATTTAATTATGTACATACAAAAGTCATGTACTGGTTATTATTTATTAACTATTAATTGAGTAATCAGACTGTTCTGTTTTTGTTCATTTCCTATTGAACTGATATAATGCCTGAATACCTCAGGGGCTTCTATCTGGACAGAGTCTGCTGGAGTGACCACATAATGGACTACTGCAGTTTTTATGACTTTCTATGATGCACATACTTAAAATTATAACTCACTGACATGTAAACATTATGATTTAGCTTATAATTTCAATAAAAGACATGAATACAGTATATTTGCTTTGTGAAATAATTCATACTAACAGATCATCATTGTAGGCATTTGAGATTTCTAACAAGTACTTTGGAAGGCGTAAATGAAAAATGTAAGGAGTAAAAAGTGGAATGTAGTACCATTTCACATTAGAGTATCCAGCATTTACAGTTATTTTACTAGACAGTTAAAATTATTCATTCATAAATGATTGTTACTTGTATGCCCTGATCTGTCTTCTTAATTTTGATCGTAATGCTTGTATGTGTTGTCTATTTTTTATGTAGGTTTGTTCATGCATTTTGCTAGATATGCATTTTATTATTGTGTATGATAAATGCTATCACGTAAGTTTTCTAACTGTTATTTTTATATTATTATTTTTTTTAATGTAAGCTATTTGCAGGTAACTGTTAACAAACAGATCACTGTGACAGGGACAACAGATGAAACAACTTTTTGGTGAACCTGGCTCATCAACAGGTGATTTTAATTTTATTTATTTATTTTTTTTTTCTGGTGGAAATGCCATTGAGAAAAAGTAACAGTATTCAATTTCAACAATACTTGAGAAAAGTACAAATCTTACAAAATAATGCTGAAGTATAGTAACATCATTCAGTAATATCATTCACAAATATTTCCCACATGTATTTCATATTTTCCAAAACGTTGCAGTATTGAATTTGAACATAAAACCTGTAGGCCGATCTATGCAAATTTCAGGTCATCAAACGTTCATTTTATTTTTAAAATAAAAGTCCTATTCCATTTAACCAATACGTAACAGGGGGTATTTTTCTAGCTTTAAATCATTATATAAATCGCCACAGTTACAACTGTCGTGTAACCAGTGTTGTGGTATGACAAACAATGCTCTTTTTGTAGGCTTGTTTGGAATATTTCCAAAGCTTTTTTTCATCCAAGTGGCCTGCCGTGGGGGACATCACGGTCTCGTCGAGGTATCCCCCGAAGCCTAATTTTATTTTGGGCGGTCTCTTCCTGCAGGCGTGCTGACAGTCTCACCAACAGGGGCTCCTATGTAGCAGAGCCTAGAAAATGCAGATCAACGATCGAGTACACAAAAATGCTGGCAATGCCTCCTTGACTTCAGAAGGTTCTCAGAGACCACAGGAACAACAGCCTGCTCTTGCTACAACATCGACTTTTTTGTAGTAGACGCCGGCACTCTAGAGCGATAATCAGTAACAGTAACAGTTTAAGAAAGTTAACTGTTAACATGAGGAACCCTCATGTAATCATGGATCAGTGCAGTCCAACAGATGGAAATAAGAAGTTTAAACGAAAAGTTCGGGGTCCTTTTAAACGTGCCTTTGCGGAAAAGGACAAACATGATTCTAAAAAACTCGTCGATGCAATGGGACTTCTTGTGGATGAGGTTTATGGAAATATTTGCGAAAAAGGGCTACAACACTTCGCTCCAGCTGCATCAAATGGAGAGCTCATACAACAGCCGGGTATTTTAAATGCTGCTCTTGATATGAAAATGTATAGCTTGCCTTCAATAACTGGGGATATGACTGAAACACAACCAGGGTCGCTTTCCGAGGCAGCAGCTGAGCACAACAACGACAAAACATCGCCACCGGATACAGTCTTTGAGAGTCAGCAGGCGTTTCCAAAAGATTATGCTCCGCAGTCGCGTATTGTGTTGTACAAACGTTCTGAAAGGTCTCTGTCTTCAACCTCTCGGGCGTCCTACATCAACAACAATGCTGAGCCTATAGACTCGCCTAGGAAACGACTGGTAGAGCCGCCTGGCGTCGTCACAGAGATCAAAGCAATTCAGCAGACCCGAAGACTACTGGCGAATGCTAGGGAGAGGACCCGGGTGCATACGATCAGCGCAGCTTTTGAGGCACTGCGAAAACAGGTATCCCAACTTTATTTACTAACCGCACAATATATTTCTTTACTCTGTGCATCTTCTCCCCACTTCCATCAGAATAAGGTAGTTATCATCTTTTAGTCAAGTTATTTGGCACCTCTTTTAGGTAAACTATTTCAGTCATAACCCTTCCTGAAAACTGATTTAAGTGTTTAAAATCCACAGGTTGATTATATTTGTATTCTTTGCTTGCCTTGTCGACATGTCTTAAGGCGTTGTTTGAGGTTGTCTGCCATTGCTAAGTGCTGTCAGTTTGTGTTTATATTGTTAATCAGTTTCTTTTGCTATGGTCAGCTAAAAAGACTTCATTTACGGAATTTAGTGTATCTTGCTTAAACTAGAGTCAAATTACGCTCTGGCTGACTTTAACTGTGCACAGCATGATTCTGGTTGGTTAATGGGTGCTGTTAAAAAAAATGAAAGAAAAAAGAGTTCCAGCCCCTGAAGAAGATATAATAAAATATCCCAAGCCTAACCCTATACTCATTTTGGTTGGTCCTGTGAATAGGACTTGGGTCCAAGACCTGACCTTCTCTCACACATTGGCCAAAGCAATCATCAGTCTATACTGGGGTAAAATCACTTAATCTAAGAAGGAGCCAAAGAGTTTTTAATACCATATAACATGTACTGAACAAAGGAGGTACTGTAGCAAAATATGAATTTTACATTACTTCATATTACTTAGAAACAGTGTCTGCCCTGAAGATACTTCAGGTAGTTTTATTTAATTATACTGAATTAAAGCCAAGAATCTCATCATACTGCAAGCAAGGAATGCCTGTAGCTTCTTCAAATCTGTCTGACTAGCACATTAATTTCCTGTTGATCCATGCTGAGATACTAATTCTGGTGTACTTCTTAATAATAAATTTAAGCATCAGAAACTCTCTCATCAATATCTCATCCTTTGTTTTTGTTTGTTGATAGTTTTGTCAGACTGTGGGGCATTAATTTATACTTGTGGATTATTGTGTGGTGTCTACTCTATATGGTTTAAATGACAATGATGTAACCTAGGCAGATGCATGTGGAGTTCATTTTGTTTCAAATGTATCAGTATAAAAAAATGTAAACCTCAACCTCCTAAGTTGATTCTCCTTTTTGTTAGCAATAATTGTACTGCCTCAAATATTCCTCATTGTGCAAACATATCTGTATGTATAAAGACTGATACACTGCAACTCTTTTTGCCTTAACATGTAGGTGTCCTGAACTGCCACTTGAATACAATGATAATAAGGCAACACCACATAAAAACCTAAATAATGGTAGAGACACTTATGCTAATATTACAGTATGTTTAATAATTAACTACATCTACCATATATAAAGACAACTTATGCTCTATTCACACATGAAAAGAAAGACAGAATAAAGTGCTATAGTATAATTACTGCTACAGAGTTAAGAAGTAATGGTTGCTGCCTTACTAAATCCAGTATAATTGTTCAGCTTATCTTGGGCAATGTTATTTCATTTGTAATATGAAAATGGACTCAACAAGAGTATGTGAGGGGCATAACAAATGTTATGAATGCTACATGTTTCCACTGGAAAGATATTGGCTATACCTGTAGCCATGTATGTTTAAGTAACCATGGGAAAGCTGTCAGAACCAAGCAGAGAATGCATCAGACTCAGTGTTGCTAATAATTGGTATGCATGCCATTAGTTGTGGAACACTTTTCTAGTGAAATTGTCAGTCAAAAATTCAAGGTACATAGTACACAAGAGTGTTTCTATGGCTGTGCAGTAGTTTGTTATAAAGATTGGAAATGTACTGTTTAAACACACTAGTAAATATTTAAACAGCCTTATAGTTGGATAATGGATTACAGTCCATTTTAAAAATGGCATTGATGTCATCTTTGGAAATCAGGAAAGGCACCTAATGCAGGCACCTAATGTTGATGCAGAATTATTCATATAAAATTAGCTCTTTCTTTATGCTTAAATGCCACATGTTCACTAGCAGAGAATTCTTTTTATATTTGTAAGCATAAAGAAATTTATGCTTACGTATAAAAAGAATTCTCTGCCAGTGAACATATGGCATTTGAGCATAAAGACGTTATTTGTGTTTTTAATGTCAAAAACTGAAAACAACCAAATGGAGATACAAGGGTTTGTTCTGCAGCAAGATATAAGATATCCTAGTCCCCTGGTGCACTGTAACTGAAAGCAGATTTTCCCAACTCAGTAAAAACTTTTGTAACCCGACAGATAATCCAGTCATTAGAGTAGGTCTAGTAAACACCATACTTTACAGAGGGCACAGATTTGAGAAGATGGCATGTGGCTGGAGAGTGCCCTATAGATAAAACAAATTAATGAGTTTCCCCGCACACAACTAGAGAGGACCAACCAACTTTTCCATAGAGTGTGCAGTGATGAGTTCTGTATGGATTTCCAGTGATGAATCTCAGAGCTGAGTGATGGACTGAATCTAGCGGTTCAAGGCTACTAGTAGATGTGTGTCTATAGATTGTCACTGTAATCTAGGATGGATAAAGTTTTCACTGTGATCCTCTTCGTAGTGTGCACTGAGAAGCATGTCTTATTCTGATATAAATATTTTAGCTTTTGTCTACATTTACTGACTAGCTTATTAATGTGGTATTTAAACATATGTATCATCCATCTCTATGCCAGGGTACTAATATTCTGTGACTCTCAATATTGAATCCAGTTAGGGTATTGATATTTACAGTGTTAAAAGCAATATAACAGAATAATAAACCTATAGTTTAAGGGGTTAAATTGGTTTGCCCCATACTAACTTCATTAGTCTCTGAGATCATGTCTGTGAAGGGCATGGCATTCTTTGTGGTGTCCCCTAAAATTCTATACTTGTGCTTTATTCTTCCTTTTTTTCTTTGTATATTGTTGTTGACTGAACATTTTAAGCACCTATAATAAGATCAAAGAGTTTTTTTGCTGCTTTTGCACATTCATAGATGAGTGTCCTTTTAAAAGTACAAAATACTGAGAGATTATTATAATCAACCACCTACTGTGACTTACCAAGGCTGATAGTAAATACTGACTTGTTGATTATGTGTGCTATTTCATGCCCTAGCCCATACACATTTTGTTGCGCAGGGACTCAAGGAAGAAAAAAAGGTCAACCTGAATGTTAATGAAAATTTATTGAAGTTACAGCATATGGCAGACACATTTTATCAGAAGAAGGAAAATGTAGTGTTAGGAGTCTTTAAAAAAGTTGGATATTTTGACAGTGGAGAAATTTTTGCCAATCTCCAGCATATAATGCTATGCTCTACTATGTAACTCTTAAAAGAGCTTGAAGAATTTTCAGATGTGGACTTTTAATCCAGTTTCCAGTCGTGACAACTGAACTGTTGGTGTAACTTATTGGCCACCCATTGTCATATCTACTAGTGCATACAATTTCTAGAACTGGTAATTTTATTCAGATTTAACTTTCTTTAAGATGTCCACATTGCCTTAAAAACTTTGTTCAAGATCAACTTGGTTCTGACATGGCTGCCGTTACTCAGAGACGCCTGTCCAACAAAATGGAAGCCCCCTTCCACCAAGTGAATAGAAGTTTGAAAAATTTTCCCCAATTCTGGCAGCAGTGTGTCAAATGGCTTTGGCTTATAATTACTTATTTTCTCAAAAATGACTTTTCTTAAAGTAATTATACTCTTAAAGTAATTTATACTCAAGTAATAACTCATTCATGAACAAGAGAGCCAGAATCTGTCAAAAAAATCAATGTCAAATGTTGTTAAAATGTGCTGTGAAAAAATATGTCCCCAATTTCTTCTATTTTTTGCTCATTTTTCACACTGTTCAGATCATCACATTACTTTTAATACAAGACAAAGATAATGCAAGTAAACACAAAATACTACTTTTAAATGATACCTTTCATTAAAGGAAAAATACTGTTCAGCCCTACCTGGCCCTATGTGAAAAAGTAACTGCCCCTTTAACTACTAAACCAACCAGTTAACCAAATTCAGTTGACTATTGGGTTTATGTTCACTAGCCACACCCAGGCATGATTGCTGCCAGACCTGTTGAATCTAAACATCACTTAAATAGAACCTGTCTGGCAATGAAAGTCTCAAAAAGCAGCACATGATACCACGTTCTAAAGAGATTCAAATACCGATGCAAAACAAAGTCATTGAAATCTACCAGTCTGGAAAGGGTTACAAAGCCATTGCTAAGGCTGTGGGACTCCAGTGAACCACAGTAAAGAGCCATTAAACACAAATAGAGGAAACTTGGAGCAGTAGGGAACCTTCCCAGGATTTCCCAGGATTTCCCAAAATTTCACCAAGAATGCATCGACAACTCACCAGAAGATCACAAAAGAACAAACACAAACATCTAGAACGGCAGGCCTCAATTGGCTCAGTTAAGGTCAATGTACACGATTCCACAGTAGAAAAGACACAGCAAAAATAGCATCCAAGGGAGAGTTGCAAGACGCAACTCACTGCTGACCAAAAAGAACACAAAGGCTTATCTCGCATTTGCCAAAATACATCTAGATGATCTCAAAGACTTTTGGAATAATATTCTGTGAACTGATGAGTCAAAGGTGGAACTTTTTGGAAAACATCTGTCGTAAATCTAACATCACATTCAACCATAAGAACATCATACCAACAGTCAAACATGGTGGTGATAGTGTGATGGTCTGGGGCTGCTTTGCTTCTGTAGGATCTGGTTGACTTGTCGTTATTGATTGAACCCAGAATTCTGCTCTCTATCAGGAAATCCTGAAGGAGAACATCTGCCATCAGTTCATGACCTAAAGCTCAAGTGCAGGGTTATGCAGCAGGGCAATGAGCCAAAGCACACAAGCAAGTCCACCTCTGAATGGCTCAAAAGAAACAAAATTAAGGTTTTGGAGGGGCCAAGTCCTGACTAGAATCTCATTGAGATGCTGTGGCAAGACCTTTAATGGGCAGTTCATGCTCGAAATTCTTCCAGTGTAGCTGAATTAAAACAGTTCTGCAAAGAGTGGGCCAAAATTTTAGGGGGTAGTCGTGGGCTGGAGGTTAGGGAACCAGCCTTGTGACCGGTAGGTTGCCGGCTTGATCCCCAGAACTGACAGCACATGACTGAAGTGCCCTTGAGCAAGGCACCAAACCCCCAACTGCTCCCCAGGCACCGTGGATAGGGCTTCCTACCGCCTTGGACAAGTGTACTCACTGCCCCCTAGTGTGTGTGCACTCACTGTGGGTGTATTATTGCACAGATGGGTTAAATGTGGAGGCGAATTTCCCCATTGTGGGATTAATTAAGGGTAACTTAACTTTTACTGCCAAGGGTGGCACAACCAGTTATTAGGTTTAGGAGCAGTTTACCTTACTTTTTTACATGGGCGCTATAGGTTTTGAATAAATCTTTATCTTCAATACATGGAATACTCATCTAAGAGCTGCATTTTGTATTTACTTGTGTTTTCTTTATCTTATATTTCTTATATTAAATATATTTCTTATATTTTCTTATATTAAAATTTCATAGATGATCTGACACATTTAAATGTGACAAATGAGCAATAAATCGAAACAATCGGGTAAATACTTTTTCACAGCACTGTGTACTTTTGTCTATTTAGTGCAACTTGAAAAGCATACCCTGTCATGTTTTGATCACGTGTTGCATTCCCTCCTCTGAGAGGAATGTTAATGTTAACAATCACAGGGAGCACAGCTAAAGTAGAAAGTAGAATGACCGTAAATTTTTTATGCATTTTTAATTCTTAATAATAATTACAAAGTAAAAAAAAATTGTACAGTTAAAATGTAAAATATGCAGTTGTGAACACCAATCAAAGCAAAACAGAGTTCAGTTCTAAAAACCCTAGAGTAGGAACCATATGTTTTTCAGACATGTGCATTGGAGACAGAGGAATTACTAAACAGACACTGTTCCCAATACTATGTGTTTGTCATGGTCTCAGTCTTTGAGACTGAGCAACTTAGTGATTGAAGCTAACTAGCAGACTAGCTTATCTTGACTGTATGTCATCTGTTCAACCATTCATCTGACCCAGGGGTGTCCCATCTTATCCGCAAAGGGCTGGTGTAGCTGCACATTTTCATTCCAAACAAGCAGTAGCACACTTGATTCTACTTGTTTAATAAGTTAGTCTCGGTCTTCAAACAGTTGATCAATGAAAACCTGCAGTAACCTATATAAAGTGTGTGTGTGTGTGTGTGTGTGTGTGTGTGTGTATGTATATATATATATATATATATATATATATATATATATATATATATATATATATATATATATATATATATATGTGTGTGTGTGTGTGTGTGTGTGTGTGTGTGTGTGTGTGTGTGTGTGTATATGTATATAATGTGAATGGAATTTGGAGTGACAGGAGCTTAACAAAACTGACAGCCAATTTATACTCATGAAGATGTGGATAAATGTAACTGCGTTACAATGTCCAAATAGAGGTTCATGGGTGAGTGTAGCTCACAAAGACTTGCAGAGGCCACAATGTGCACACCTCTAAAACCTCAACTATACGTTGTGCAAATCTGCAGAGCTGTGCATCAAGCAAACACAGCAATTATTTTCAAGCAATAAGATGATCTGTAGTATTAAATGCTCAAATACTATCAAATGCACATATTATGGCTATGCCATGCCACTTCTCACTGTAGTTAACCCTGTTTTTACAGGTGCCCTGCTATTCCTATGGACAGAAGCTCTCCAAGCTAGCTATATTAAGAATTGCTTGCAACTATATCCTGTCCCTGGCTCAACTTGCAGACCTGGACTACACACCAGACCACAGCAACATGAGCTTCAGAGAGTGTGTGGAGCAGTGCACCAGAACCCTGCAAGCAGAGGGTCGCTCCAAGAAGAGAAAGGTGAATAGATATGTGGAAGGTTTTTCAGGTTCTTATAGTAGGATGTGTGTGTCTGCTAATAGCACAAAAATACCTAATGCATAGCTCATGCTGGAGGCTTTTTATTGTTATTGTTATTGTGTTATTGTGAACATCCAACAGATTACACCAGACATGCCTGTGGTATATTGAAACCAAAAGCATTTTGTATTCAGTTGTAATGATGTTTAGCAAATTCTTTATGCTTGTACTTCTGGATTGATGAGAGTAGAAGCTTTATTTTCACAAGTATGTAAGGATGGGAAAAAGTCATGGTTTTGTAGACTTTCTGAGCTATCAACAGCAGTTCTTCTATTCACTGATCATTGGAAAATTTCTTGCTTTTTTGACTTCCTCTGTGGGCTTTGAGACAATACATATTCTTACATATTTTTCCGGGCAGGTTCATCACATCTGTTGGCAATTTAAATGTTAACAGTTATTTCAGCTTCAATTCAGGAAGTTGTTTGTGGGCAACCATGCACAAATGGCCTGTTTTGTTCATTTTGAAAGAAAATAAGTTAATATAGCACCTACAAGGAACAAACTTCAATATGACATATTTTACAAATTTAGAATAGACGATTACCATTTATTTGCTTAATTCAATATATTAGGAAAAACAAAAAATAAAATGTACCATGTGCAAAAGTTGAGCCCCCACCCCCCCCGCCTCAGCTGATCCACTGGCGTTATTGTTTTGTAAGGTCCCAGAGCTTATTCAACTTATTAGGGCTTATTCCAAGTCAGTTATAGACAACTTTGGAGCGTAATAAATGATGTGATCCTTTAAACCTCTCAGGGTGTTGTGCATTCATAGGCTTAGATTTATATGGTTCCATCTGCGTTTAATGCAATTTTAAGATATTAGAGATTTTATATTCAAAATAGCAACACTATAATGTATTACAATTCACTTTTTTATCTTAAAGTCAATGCCTTGCAAATCTATGCTTTTTTGTTGCAGTTATTGAGCTACAACCATAAAACTTCGGATCGTAGAGCTGTTACTTGAATAGCGCGCTTGTGTTTTGGGACTGAATGCACGTATGGTTTTTGAACTGCATCCCTTGAAACACAATTTTTTTTCCCCATATGAAATGAATGGCAGAATGTTAAGAAAATTCAAATGGCAATGGTCGAGCAATACCTTAGCAACCACCTGGGATACCACAGCAGTGGCCTATGGCCTAATTAGACCTTAGCGACCACTTGGAATAACCATATCAATGACCTAGCAACACTTTAGTAACCACTAGGGAGGGATAGCACAGCAACAGCCTATCAACACCTTAGCAACTACGTGGGATACCTTAGTAATGACCTAAAAATACCTCAACAACCACCCGAGATACCACAGCAACAGCCTAGCAGCACTTTATCAACCACTAAGCAATGCCCGAACACAGAGCTGAAATACCGCAACAACCTCATCGCAACTACCTGGAATTAATATTTAAACCCAATTAAGTTATCAAAAACAATTTATTGTGTTCTGCAACTGCTTTAAAGTGTTCCTGGCTGGCTTAGTTAAGCCATCTCTTTCTTTGTTTAGAATAGGTTCCATCTTCAAAATAAAAAAACAGACTGGAATAGAAATTTCATTTACACACTCTCCTGTCATAAATACTTAAAACACTTGAACAGTGGGTATATTTATAGGCATTCAATATCATACAGTATAGTACACTGTATGCTTGTTTTATTTTCAAGTATTTGAACAGGTGTCATGAGCCATGTCAATATCAACAGTATGTTAATTAAAAATACATCCAGATGAGAAGTATCTCATGCATAATTTCATAAATCTATTGTGCTACATACATACATACATACATACATATATATGAGAAAAAGTAGTAAGATGAATCACAAGAGCCTCCAACATGCTAATTTCTTAATATATATTTAGTGCAGTACATCAGCATTAGAAATGTATGTGTTTACCTTTGTATTCATGCTGTAAGTGGTTGTAAATACTGTTTTTCAGGAAACATGAAGGATGACAACTTGTTTCCTGTAGATACTATAAAGTTTACAAGCGGACTTATCACACATTTTGTATTGCATATTTTAGTGACATGCTGAGTTGTCGAGGTACAATTTTCTAATAATCCAAATTTGGATAAACTAATTCCATTGTTCAGTACAAAATTTCATTGTTTCTCTTTGTCAGTTTCTCATCGTTGTTGTTGATTTATTCCTAGCAGACACCATTTTAATTTGATAAGTAGTACTTTATAAGCATACTTGTTAGATGCAGAGCACCTGTTTAGCAGACTGAAGACAATGTAGTCTTTGTTTCCAAGCAATATTAACAAATTGTATAAATTGTAATTTATACAGCAAATTGTATAAATACTTTTTGAGTCAGTTCCTTACTTTAACAATAGTCTCAATTAAAAAAATATATATAAATAGTTGTTCAGCCAGACTGTTTTTTCAGTGGTAAACACTTGTGATAAATTGGTCTAGTTGGATCTTCTGCATTTGTCTACATTGAGTGCATTTTAGGAGAAATGTACTGACAAATGTGTCAGACTAGGAGAGTACAATGTACATATACAAACATAACTTTGCTCTAAAAGCATGCAATCATTGCAAGCAGTTTTGCAAAAAAGAGTAAAGAGCTCTAGATTAAGACGCTGACTTTTCTGCTTCATGTTTGTGCTGATGTGCTTTCGTCGCATAAGCACATTCAGAGGGAAACTGGTGCGCCTCCCCCGCCCCCTGGCAGTCCCAGACACCAGATGTTTGCAACGCTAGCTGGGAAGTCCTGCTGGCGCCACTCAGGGCAGAGGGCAGGGTAAAGGCACGCGAGTTGGAACCAGAAGAACTCACTCACTGCAGGAATTGGCACATTCCCCAGTGCAATCTTGGCTGCCTCCCCAGTTCTCCCTAAGCCATCTGTTCTAAAAAAAAACACTTTGGAAAAAAAAAAAACACTGATCATCACTCTCTCTCGATACAGCACTAAGAAGCAGCTGTTACAGAGGGGAAGAAGGAGGGGGCAGGCCTGAAAGAAATCCTTTTGTCAGAGAGAGCCAGTGAGTCTGAGGGGAAAGTTTCTGAAGAGGAAAAAAAATGTTTTGGCAGAAGAAACTGATGAAAGGCATTCAGAGTGTGCTTAAGTTGTTCTAAAGTGAAACATATGTGGATTTTGTCATTCTGGCTTTTTCACTCAAGTTCTTCAGAAAAGTAATGCATTTTTATGTGTTCATTTGTAGATGAAATTATGTACTACTAAAATGTTTTTTAATTGCACATGCATCACAACTCACAAATGCTTCTCTCTGTACAGGAATAAAATGAAGACTTTGGAGAATTTTTCCACAGTAGGATTGTGGCAAGCCTTATTCTACATGTACACTTGGAGCTCTACGCTTGAAATGACTCAATATAAATACAATGAGTGCATTTTTATACTAGGTTTTAAACAAATTAGTGTAGTATGTTACACAGACATGTTTAATGACTAATAAAATATTCCAGTTACCATGCAGACTCTTATTGAGCCAGAATACATGCAACACAAACACATGTTCTTGTTTGTTTGCAACAAACAAGAACACACCATATCATCTTTGTAATTGTTTAGACCTAAGATTACAGATGATTACAAAACTGTAAACTGTAAATTACAAAACCCATGTTATATGTCTTGATCTCATTTTGCATTGTAACTTTTTTCTCAAAATATTTTAGCCATATCTTAGTATCGTATGCAAATGACATGTTCATAAATTATTAATGTATGTAACTGTTTAATGATTCATGAATGCTTGTGTCAGCCTCAGTTTGTTTTGTGGCATCGCAGATGTGGAACATCGTCCATTGATTTTGTATTTTGTTTTAAAAAAAAAAAGATCCCAAAAATATCATGTCCTCAGTAGGCATAGGTATTCTGACAGCAGAGTCAACATTATTTTGCACATGAACTTTATAGGAAAACCATTTGTGTTTTTGAATTACAGCAGTTCCACCATCTTTAGGGTGGTTTGGTAAACGTCTACTGCTGCCATTTGCTGTTGTTTGGATGTGTTTGCTTGAATGCCACAACTATAAGGTAAAGTACTGTTCTTGGATTATGTTCAGTTTTGTTTAAAATACAAGCCATCTTCTTCAATAAGTTTCCAGCTTTGCTCTTACTTGTTTGGCACAGCATTAAACAACAGGGGCAATGCCAGAGAAATAGCAGTGCACTACTGCTGTTCACTGTTGGGAGAGCATGTTCATCAGTAAACTAGTCATGTGCCTTTACTACAAAACATTATCACGATAATTACCTTTTTATCACAGTTTACAATATTATCAGAATATTGCATAGAAAAAAATATTTTTATTGTTACATTCTCAATGACATGTTTTAAATTAGGAGTATATGTGTGCAATATTTACAAAAAAACAAATCAAAAATAAAAATTAAAAGTTGTCCACATGATGCTTACTGTGTTGTCATACAGGACTATTTACAGTCAGAACTGGAGTTAAGAACCCTTGTAACAGATAAACTTTTTACTTTATATGTTCTAGGTTTACAGTGAATCATTTACTAAATGTTCCATCTTAATGCTGAACTGCTGGATTGGCCTGTCAGCTCATTAGAAATCTGCCAAACTGCTTGTTTGCTTTTGTGTCCTTTACTTCACATACACACAGTTTGTGACTATTCGTGAGACTGATTTTTTTTCTTCTCTAAGCTATGGAAAAAATATTCCAAATGTATTTGTTAAATATATTTTTGTAGTGTATGAAAATGCCAAAATTGTATTTGTTAAATATACATCCCCATTTCCAAAAAAGTTGGGACGCTGTGCAAAATGTAAATAAAAACAAAATTCAATGATGTGCAAATCATTTAAACCCTATATTTCATTGAAAATAGTACAAAGACAACAAATCAAATGTTGAAACTGAGAAATTTTATTGATTTTTGAAAAATATATGCCCATTTTGAATTTGATGGCAACAACATGTTCTAAAAAGTTGTGACGGGCATGTTTACCACTGTGTTTCATCACCTCTTCTTTTAAAAACACGTTTGGGAACTGAGGAGACCAACTGCTGTAGTTTTGAAAGTAAAATGTTTTTTATGTCACTTAACATGGGATTTTAGCTGCTCAACAGTTCAGTGTATCCTTTGTCGTATTTTTCATTTTATAATGTGCCAAATGTTTTCAGTGGTGACAGGTCTGGACTGCAGACAGGCCAGTTGGGGCCCAGACTTTTTTAATACAGAGCCAGGCTGTTGTACTACATGCAGAATGTGGTTTGACATTGTCTTGCTGAAATAAGCAGATTCACAGATGTGCACGTCACCCATGCCATGTGCACTAATGCACCCCTATACCATCATGAATACTGGCTTTTGAACTGTGCACTGATAACAAGATGAGTGGTCTTTAGCCCAGAGGACACAGTGTCCATGATTTCCAAAAAGAAACTCAAATGTTGATTTGTCAGACCACAGGACACTTTTCCACCTCCCCTCAGTCCATTTTAAATGAGCTCGGGCCCCGAGAAGGTGGCAGCATTCCTGGATCCTGTTTATATAAGCTTTCTTCTTTGCGTTTAAGAGTTTTAATTAGCATTTTTGGATGCAGCGCCAACTGTTTTCATAGTAGTTCTGAGCCCATTCAGTAATTTCCACTACAAAATCATGTCTGTTTTTAATGCAGTGCCGTCAGAGGGCCCAAATATCACGGCCAGCTAATACTGGTTTTTGGCCTTGTCCCTTGCATACAGATATTTCTCCAGATTCTCTGAATCTTTTAATGTTATTATGTACCGTAGATGATGAAAAGCAAAAGGTCTTTGCTATTTTATGTTGATAAACATTATTCTTGAATTGTTGCACTATTTGACTGTGCAGTCTTTTACAGAGTGGTGAACCCCTCCCCATCTATACTTCTGAAAGACTCAGCCTTTCTGGGGTGCTCATTTTATACTCAATCATGTTACTGACCTGTTGCCAATTAACCACTAGATGTTTTTTTAAGCATTACACTTTAAACTTTACCAGCCTTTTGTTGCCCCCATCTCAACTTTTTTGGAACGTGTTGCTGGCATCAAATTCAAAATGGGCAAATATTTTTCAAAAAACAATAAAATTTCTTGGTTTCAACGTTTGATATGTTGTCTTTAAAGCATTTTCAATGAAATGTAGGGTTTAAATGATTTGCACATCATTGCATTTTGTTTTTATTTACAATTTTCACAGCGTCCCAAATTTTTTGGAAATGGGGCTGTATTTTTAAAATGCATTTTCGAAATGTATTTATCAAATATATTTTACCATGTGTGAAAATGGCCTAAATGTATTTGTTAAATATATTTTTCAATTATATGTAGCTTTAATAAAGGTTACAGATATAATTAAATACATATAAACTGAATGTACCAATGTCTGTGTTTAAAGGTGCTCACACAAAATGTACGTCAAATAAACAGGATATCAAATCGTTGAACTGCATTTTCACAGTGTATCAATACCTACAACATTTGATTTTGCCATGTGTTAAAGGTTCATTTGCTAATAATGAAAATTAGGATACTGGAATACATATTTGTTACAATAGTCATTCCAAACAGGAAAGTGCATTATACAAGTATTTGGCTATTTTCATGCATTTTCAAATGTATTTGACAAGTACATTTACATACTTTTATTTTTGTTATAGTACATTTGTATGTGTATGTTTCTATATTCCCCATCACAGATCCACCACCGTACTTCACAGTGGGGATGAGGTACTTTTACTGCATAGCTATCTTTGTATGTGTACCAAATCCACCTCTGGTGTTTATTGCCAAAAAGCTTTATTTTTGTCTCATCTGAACATCAAACACCCTCTCAAACAACCCTCTTAAACAACTTGTGGTTATGTGGCTGGCACCTCATTGTAGTTTGGGAGACCTAATGTCTGCAATTCCCCAGCTGTGATCCTTGGAGATGCTTTTGCCACTTGAACCATCCTCCTTACTGTGTGTCAAGATAGACATGTAATTTCCCTGGCAGATTCTTAAAATCTCCAGTTGCTTTAAACTTCTTAGAGGCTCAGCACAGTATTTTTGCTCCTTACTCAACAGAGGAAGTATGTGATTATTTTCATACTGCTGAAATTGAACCTATTCTGTAGTGCTTTAAGCTGTAGCCTGCTAGGCTAAGCTAACGTGAGTGCACAGTGCCTCGTACTGCAGTATGGACTTGGTTCTAGTGAATTGATGATTAAAAACACCAGTTTGGAGGATATAAACATGTATCTAAGAGCACAAATTTGAATGACTGGTGTTGAAGTGACAGAAAGATAAAAAAACTGATCTGTGGTGCTTTAAGCTGTACCCTGCAGAAGATGAGAGCATGCAGAGAGACTGGAGTTGGAGTGACAGACATAATCAGGTGTGTTTTGTGGTGGGTGGTGTGTGCATGGCTATTAGCCTGTTAGCAGTTAGCCACTCGTAATTGTGTGTAATTGTAAATACACAATTAAAGTAGCATTTGCATTTGAAGGTCCAAAACTAGCCTATTTGGACACCACCATCTTGCCAGCTTTTCTAATTTTGCTAATTATTATAATTTTTTGTTTGCTCCTGGAATTGCTCTTTTGCTTCTGAAGTCCTTCTTTTGCTTGACTTTTGGAAGAGGCCATTCACCTGCACTTTCTATTGGTCAACTGATTTGGAGGGACAGGTTTTCTGACTGCATAGTCACACCCACTTCAAGAGCTGTGATTTTCCTTGAACATGGCAGAGCATTTTGTACTGAGTGTAGTACTGCCAGACAGGATTCAACTGATATGTCTGCCCTTATGAACAATTTTGGTCATATTTATTGATGGGTGGTAATGTTTTATCACTGCGAAGGCAAAAAGGTTGACATGTCATGGTTGTCCGTTCCGTTCTAGTATTTATAAGGGCTTTTATGTCAGTCTCTTCTTCTTCTTTCTACCTGCAGAGTGCCTCTGTGTTGGTCACTGAAACAGGCTTCGTATCTCACCACGCCCATTTACAGAATGCTGCTGCTCCAAATCATTATCTTTAATGCAGTGAACTAACGTCAGATATTTAAGCTGTTTAGTTCCATTACCAGCACTGCTCTTCTAGTTAGCCCTAGAGGACACACCTAGGCTAGTAAGCGCTAGCAGTTGCAAACTTGAAAGGTGGTACATCTTCGTCCATTCATAAATGACTAAGTTTATGTTAGTCAAAGCCCAAAGTAAGTTATATCTTTTCAGATAGGTTGACACAGGACCCAAAAACGTGTTACAGTAATAATTTAAAAGAATATGACAAACTCCTAACATCAGATATGCCAATACAACGCTGCACTCATAGTAGCACTCAGTATGACGTGATCCGCCATGCTGGGGGTGGGTCATGCTGAGTGGCTATGTGTTCAGAAGACCTGTCACTCCTAATCAGTTGACCAATAGAAAGTGCAGGTAAACGCCCTCTTCTAAGACCCGCCTCCTGTTAGTAAGTGCCAAAAATCAGAAGCAAAAGAAAAATTTCAGAAGCAAAAGAGCAATTCCAGAAGCAAAAAATGCATCAACAAAATTAGCAAATAGAAAAAAATGAAAGCAGAAACTGGTAAAATGAGTAATAAATATACCCCTGAATGAGTGAAAAAGAGTAGAAATCTTTTTGAAAAAAATAAGTTTGACTTGGAGCAATTTTGTGACATTTTAATACTTAATATTTTGCTTGTGGATTTCATAATTTTATTTGAAACTCTTGGCACAGAATTAACTCCATAAAAGGAAGGACTCATGATCTAAAGCATACCACATCATCTGTCAAAAAAAGTGGAGGCAGTGCTATGGCATGAGCAGGACAGATGGATAATGACCTAAAACAAATCATGAAAGCAATTCAAGAGCTTTTTCTGGTAAAGAAATGGAATGTTCTGCAATGGCCAAGTCATTCACCTGACCTCAACCCAACTGAGCATGGTTTTCACTTTCTGAAGACAAAACTGAAGGCAGAAAGACCTACAAAGAGCAACTGAATGTGGCTACAGTTAAGGCCTGGAAAAGCATCTCAAGAGAGGAAACTCAGCATTTGATGTCCATTGTTTCCAGATTCAGGCAGTCACTGACAGCAAAGGATTCACATCCAAGTATTAAAAATAATCCTTGTACTTATAACTATGTTCATTTGTTCAATTACTTTTTAGCCTTTGAAAATGGAGGAGATTTGTTACAGATGGCTGTAATTCCTAAATGGTTAATGCAATATTTTTGTTAAACCCCTTGAACTAAAGTCTACACTTCGTTATGGTAGCTAAGTGAAAAGCATAGATTCATAATATTCTTTGTGGAACACAATATTGCCATTTTTTTGTGTTCTGAAAACTCCCCATTTACACTGACAAATTGGTAGAAGTCTGTCAAGTAAGACTTAAACTATAAAAAAAGTCTGTCAGATTTATGACCTGTTCTTAAACTGTAGAACTGTTCACACTTCTGTGCTCTTGCATGTGTGTAGATTCTGTTCTTACCCAAGAACAAATTTCAAACGCTGTTGAATGTCAGAATCTTAGTGAAAACTGCGTAAGTGGGTTTTTAAGAAATTTCTTCTTCAGAACAGTTAGTGAATGAGGCCAATCAAACTTGAATGTT